CTACCCTCAAAGCCTCTTTTTTATTATTAAAAATATATATACAAAAATATTAAATTAAGGCTCTAAATTTTAATTTATTCGTCATCATTGGTGCTATTGTCTTTACACAAGTATCATTGGATAGCTTCGGGAAGACGCATAATGTCAGACGAGACTTGCTCTTGGCTCACAATCAACTTCCCTTGTTTATTCTTAAACAAATATACGAGCTTGCCTTTATTAATAAACCCGATCACCCTTCGTTTATTCATCTCAGCTGCCATTTCTTCCGCCATTATTTCAACTAAAACATATCCATCACTGATTTATTTAAACCAAACCAACCTCGTGTTGATTTTATAGCCAAGCTGGAGGGTGCTAAGCATTTTACTGATTTGCTTCAGCTACAATATTCATTTGACAGCCCTGGAAGCAATAGCAAATCCTTTAGCTGGAAAGCCTTGTTCAAATGGATCAAAGCTTGCCTTGGTTTTATATGGTCTTCGTTGTTTGCTTAAATGCCAAACGACAGAGGACAACTCAGATGTAGAATCAGGTCGGGTCCAGGTAAATAACTAAATATTTATACAGTGCAACTCTACTGTGTGGAACGGGCGTGAAGTTTAGAGAGAGCTCAAGCTAATGCTTGCTTGACATAAAATTTAACAAAACTAATGGTAAGCTCGCAAGTAGATGAGTGGACTGAACCATTTTTCCGAAACATAATGGGGTGGGAGCAGAGCTATTATCCAAAAGAAACCCACGTTTGTGACTACGTTTTTCTAATGGAATATCTCATCAGATCTACTGATGTGGATTTACTTGTTCAGAAAAGAATTATCATCAACCGGCTGGAAAACCACACGGCAGTGGTAAAGTTATTCAACAACCTCTGCAAACATATTCCTCCCAAGGATAATAACCATTACTCGGAGACTTTCAGGGACCTCAATGCTCACAATTCAGTTCAAAGCTCAGACTACACTACTTTTCATCTTTGTGGAGAAGTGTCGCTCCGGTTGCTTCTATTGCGCTCCTTGTCCTCACTTTCATACAAGCCGTATGTGTTATTATCGCTCTTTAATCTATATTCATATGTTGTCGGGTCGAATCTATTGGATAACTTCAATAATAAAAATAAATGTAATTGGTGTGTTTGTATTGTACTAAGAAAATTCTAAAAATATGTTGTCTGATCACTGTTTTTTTCTTTCTAATGTACTGTATCATCTCACTTTAATTAGTTGCAGAGTGTAATATTTTTATATTGTATTGTACATGATTATATAACAACTTTTAAATTAGAATAAAATAGTATTGTAATATTATAAATATTTATAATTAAACTTAAACAAAAACACGAATAATTTGAATCGATTAAAAGAAATAAAATAAAACTTGAGTTATAAAATAGAATTCATCAATTCAAATACCTTAAAGTTTTTTAACTCAACTCGATCGAATGTTCATTCATAATTTCAATAACACGTTAGGATTTTAATATATTATAATTAATAAAATCGTTGGGCTCCGGCCTTGAATATTGACGACCGACTATGACTATATTTTAAACAGATGTAATTTTTAACTCCAATTATAAGATGCAGCTAAAATTTTATTTCTAAAGTTTCATCTTAAATGTCCTTCCTAAAATTGTCGTCATCCTAAAGTTCAAACCTAATGTGTTAACCTAAACAAATTTCAAATTTCACATCTCCTCTACCACTATTCCTTATTGGAAAGTTTGGGTCATTTTAACTCCAACTTCCACGACTATATATTTAAGAAAATATATTGTGCATGTATCAATATATATATAATCAACAAATATTAGATGATGGTAAAATATATTATATTAAAAAAATATATATTTTCAAGATAAATGTCGAGATTCAAACTCAAATAATATGAGATAAATATGAGCATCCTTAATTAGTCGGTGAATTAATGAATTGATAAGAAATCAAATTTAAATCTTATAAGAATATTAGAAGTAATTGCATTATATGTCCTCAAAGTATATTTTTTATTTTAAATTGATCCCTAAACTTTTAAATATTCTAATTTCATCCCTAACTATGACTACCATCCTAAATTAATCCTCAGACTTTTGAACATTTCAATTTCATCCCCAAACTATAACCTTTATCCTAAATTGACCCCTAAACTTTTTTAACATTTTGACTTCATCCCAAACTATACATATATACTAATTGAATCCCTTGTTAATAGAATCATTAGGCCAAGTTATATATAGTTTGTTTGAAAAAATAATAAACTTGGGTTAACCTATGCTTGAAATTAATTACATATTTGGATGAAACTGGGGATGAAATGGGAATATTCAAAAGTTTGAGGGCTAATTTAGAAAGAGGAATATAGTTTATGGATGAAATTAGAATGTTCAAAACTTTAAGGATTGATTTAGAACGAGAGTCATAGTTTAGCGATAAAATTAAAATATTCAAAAGTTTAAGGATTAATTTAAAATAAGAGTTATAGTTTGAGGACGTACGGTGCAATTAATTCAAAAATATTATTGAGAGATAGCCTTATAGGCCAGACCCTCAGGGGGTGTTTGGTTCAAGGATTGTGGGATTCCCATAGGATGAGAATCCCACATTCTCATGTTTGGTTGGCCAGGAATCTCATTTCCGGTAATGTTTTATTACCAATAGTAGATTTTTTGGGGTATATTACCGGGAATGTCATTACGTCCCTTCACTTAGGTATTGTAACATTACCGGCGTTTTGGACTAAAATACCCTTAATTTTTTATTTTTTTTCAAAAATATCCTTCTTCTATCATTGAATAATAAAAATTCTACGAAGGTTAAATTACAAATTTATCCTTAAATTATTTTAGATTTACAAAAAAAAGTCTATAATTAAAATTTTATATGAAGTTCAGGGGTTAAATTTTTTTTTACCCTTTCATTAAACCTTTTTTATATTTTTTATTTTGTAAAAAAATTATATATTATGAATTTAATTTTTTAAAGAAAATATATAAATTTTACAATTTGTAATATTATACAAATATATAATAAGGACAATTTAGTCAAATATACATTTCAATAATCTTTTATTCCTTTAAACAAACACAGTAATCTTATATTCCTGCTAAACCAACCAAACACAAAATACAACATTCCCAGTAATCCTATTCCCTGGTATCTTCTATTCCCACTGGTAATCTTACATTCCGTGAACCAAACGCACCCTAAGGTTAATCGTAAGGTCCTATAGATTGCTATTTCATTGTTAATCAAACTTCAATTCTTCAGGTATTCTTTACTTACACACCAACTTCAATCCCTACTTGTTAACCCAACAACTCTTCTTGGCTTTCTATCACTTCAAATAATCAAATTTCAATAAAAACTTTTCATATGTTAGGTGGGATCAAATAGTTCATATGACAAACACATCTTTCCCTTGTAATTAAAAAGTCATAACTTGAGAAAAAAATTTACAAATTTTAAGAGTCGGAGTAAGTTTTTCGTTGTTGAGCCTAAAAGAAATTGTGCAAATTAATGTATCATAGCAAAAAAAATCTTAACATATTAATTGAGTCTTAATATAACTGGGGTTCAAAGGTTAAATATAATGTAAACATGGTATAAAATAAAATAAAGACTAATGAGTAGAGTGTGATCACAAGGCACATTACATTTTAATGAGAGAATTCCAATTCAACATTTTTAAGGAAACGTTACAAACATTAGTTATAAATTTGAATTATATTTCGTAAAATAAATATAAAAAAATATCTTAAAAGGAATCCAAGTGAAGCATTAGTCTAGAATTTCATGAGGTTTGAAACTTATCATTTTGGTAGTTGTGGTATCGCGGCATGAATGGTACAACTTGACATAAAATTGTTAGAAAGGTCTAATGAAATAAAAACAAAGTGAAGCATCAACAACAATAATGAGTTGATTTAGTGGGATGAGGTACTAGTCTCTTTAAATAAGGTCAAATGTTTGAATTATGATGATTTTTATATAGAGTAAATTTGGTTTAGGGATGGGCATGGGTCAGATCAAGTCGGATTTTTCAATCCATCCGATCTGACTCAAAAAATGTAAATCATTCACCCGACCCGAAAACTATACCCCTTCCACTTGACCTGAACCCAACCCAATTTTTTGAGATAAAATTTGAACTCTATCTGACCCGAAATGATATATTCAATAAAAATATTATTTTTATTCAATAAAAATATTATTTTTATTCAATAAAAATATGTATTTAATTGAAAGGAAACAATATACAAAGGTGTATTATTACAATTATCCCTAAATATATAAGGTAAAATTATAATTTTTTCCGGTCGGGTCAGGTCGGGTATTTTTTTATCCTAAACCTGAATTGGATCCTCCCCGAACATAACTTTAAGAAAACCAAACCCGACTTGATCGAAACTTGATTTTTTTTTTAAAAATCCGATCAAAATCTGTAAAATTTGTGTCTCATGTTTGTTCTTTTCTAAGTTAAGAGGATTATCCTAAATGAGTCTTTGTAACACTCGATTTGAATTAACGATGAATAGAGGATGTAGAAGTGATTAATTCAAAAAACAAAGGGAGTGAAGTCTCTCTTGATTTCGACAACACAATTATAAAAGCAAAATTCTAGAAAGAAATGGTGGTAGCGGAGCAGGTGGAAGGGCACCGATCTTGCCCTAATCTCAAGCTTGAGTCGGTCAACATTTGCAAATTTGTGGGCTAAGGTGAATAAAGAAATTGTTGCACACATATTGACTAAAATTTTCAATTCTATTACACAATTATTATAATACTTATGTCCGTAGCATGGGACATGTACGGCTGGACTCCTATTTGTTTTCAAATCAATTAATTGTCAAGCTTTGGACTAAAGCTTGTCTCTCTCTCTTTTTTTCCATATTGTTTTGTTTTGTTCATTAATTTTATGTGGTAGCTTCGACCATTCTCCTCTCTTCATTTGAAAATTCTATCTTTAATTACCTCCCCCCCTCTGTCTTATATATTCCCAATTCTCCTCTCGCTTCTAATCTCATATCTTCTCTCCAAGCAAACAGAAATATTTCCAGATTCCGACGACGATTACAAACTGACAATTGCTTAAACCCGACGACTTCTCGTTTCTTCTCTTCGTTTCTTTCTCTTTAATTTTCATTGATTACCCTATGAAGCAACTCATCCGCCGTTTCACCCGTTTCGCCGACACTTCCGAGCAGTACATACTTATCCGTTCGGATACCGCCTCCATGCGCCATCGCACCGCGGTCAGACTCCGGTCCGTATCTTTCCGTGTCGCGGTCGCTTCTTTGAAAAAGCATTTGCGCCGGTCGGTACTCGAGGGCCACGTGCCGGTATACGTCGGGGAAGAGATGGAACGGTTCGTGGTGAACGCGGAGTTGCTCAACCATCCGGTTTTCGTTGGCTTGCTCAACAAGTCGGCCAATGGATATAACCAGAAAGGGGTACTTCATATTCCGTGTCACGTGCTGATTTTTGAACGTGTTATGGAAGCGTTGAGGCTCGGGGCCGAGTCACGTGACCTCCAGGATCTCCTCCGTTCTTTATCCGACGACTGTTTTCTGGATTTGTAGTAGATTAGAACGACGTCGTTTCTTTTCGGGAGATCTTTTTGTGTAAATATAGAAACTTATAGGGAAAGTAAAGGAAAATTAGGGGGGGTTTCCCTCGTAGTACTTGGTAGTGTAAAGAGGATTGAATACAATGGCGGAGTTCAGTTGTTTTTTTTTTTTTTAGGATTCAATTTTCATTTTAGAAATTATTAAAACAATGCTTCAAAAAAATTTTGTTTGGTTTCCAAGAAAACCAAAGCTTGTAAAAACCTTTAATTTTTTATTTTATTTTCTTGGAACTCAGGAGAATCCAAAATGACCCAAATTGATTTTTTTTCCTTTTAATTTCCTCGGTAGGTTTTTTTTTATATAATTTGCCAGAAACAATAGGCACCGGAGAAAAGGGTATTTCGGGAAGGTTGAAAATTGGGACAGGTTATTACAACTTTTAACGTATAAATATATATTATTTAATATATATATATATATATATATATATATATATATATGTAAAGTATTCAAATCGTCTCTAACTATAAAATATTATTTTGTTAAATTTTAAAATAATTTTTAACTATGAAATGTTATTTTATTGAGTCTCTTCACTGTTAAAAGTTATATTATTATCACATTATTAATCATTTGTTCAAAACTCGTACTTTTTCAGGAAAAAGATATTAACTTGTTGACTAAGATATGATAAAATCATCTTAACGATGTCTATTGGTAACACGGTTGTATTTCAAGCACTAGATTGGTGATATAATGTAAACGGAAAGTCAATCCACGAAATACAATTTATTGGATCAAATTTTATCATATATTAGTCAATAAGTTAATATCCAACTTAGATGATTGCCAAATTTTAATGAAAAAATATGAGTTTGAAACATATGAATAATCAAACGGTCATTTTGTAACTTTTAATAGTCTGCAGACTCAACAACATCCTTAGTCAGAAAACTATTTTACTACTTTTAATAATAGAAATACTCAATAAAACAATTCCTATAATCGAGAGACTATTTGTTTACTTCACTCTTAACATATTTGGACTTCAGTTATAAAAGACTGATTCGTTTTGGTACAATGAATAATGCATATGTTTTGAAAGGATATACATTTATGAGAGATTACGATCTCTAATTTTTACGGTTAATTCTGGAATAAACTGATAAAATTAAAGGATATACCTAATCATTTAATTCATTTATTCAGTTACAGGGAATCAGATTTCAGCTAAAAAAATTAATTGAAATATATTTGACAGAAAACAAGAAGAAACATGAGAAGATAAATTGAAAATAAAATTAGATAAAATATTTTTAAATTTGAATCAAATACTAATAGAAAGGATGAAATCAAGTAAATAATACAGGCAAAATAATAAATTAGCGAAATTGGTACCTTCAAATATATTTTGAGATCTATCACATCACGTGGGTATGAGTATGATGAGTTTCAATAAAATATATTCTTTTATTAGAATTTGTCAAAGAAACATGATAAGTTTTAATAAAAAAATCATATTTTATTGAAACTCGACAATTTATCATGCTCACGCGATAAATTTTAATAAAATAATTTATAATTGAAACACATCACGTAAATATGATGAATTGTAAAACAATGTAATAAATATTATATATCTAAAATAAATTTCTACTTACGGTATATTTTAAAATATTTTTGGCATCATTGTTATTGCGCTAATTTTACTAATGGAAAAACATAATATTTTAATCAAATTCAAATATGCTAAAAATCTGATTGGACCCAACCCTTGATCGTCCCCAAGTATATGAGTCTATCATATACCTAGAACACCCAACACGCGCTTATTTCTGGGTAGGATGACTCATACATTTACAACCTGGGAAGCAGCTAATCTTATACATTATAGGTCCTAGAACACCCCTTCCATTTGGACTCTGTTATAATATTGTGCTTGTTTATGCCATCCAGCTGTCCAATTCGTAGATCATTCCAACAACCAATTTTACAATATCCAATAAACATTCCCTACGCTCCAATAAATAACCACAACCTCAAATCTTTCATAGTGTAACAATTCAATCTTAAATCAATTCCCTAAAGTCTAAACTACAGCCAACGGATACAGTTTCCACTCTTCCAAACGCTCTACAAATGCTTCTCCTTGGTGCTCTCGTGGTTCAAACTTTAATGGTTGCTTCTGCGGGCAACTTTAACCGGGATGTCCATGTCACATGGGGAGATGGTAGTGCAAAAATCCTCAACGATGGCCAGCTTCTTACTCTCTCCCTCGATAAAGCCTCTGGCTCAGGCTTCCAATCCAAGAATGAATTTCTGTACGGGAAGTTCTATATGCAACTGAAACTTGTGCCTGGCAGCTCTGCCAGGCACTGCCTACGACGTAAGTAACTTTATATATAATTGATTATATAGTACATTCGAAAGTTTGTTTTTTTGTACGAATTCGTTAATTACAGACGGTTTTCTGCTCGTTTGCTGCAGTTAAAATCACAAGGATCGTCTTGGGATAAGATCGATTTCGAATTCTTGGGGAACCTGAGTGGTGATCCGTACATCGTTCACACTAATGTTTAGACGAAAGGCAAAGGTGACAGGGAGCAACGATTCTACCCGTGGTTCGACCCCACTGCTGATTTCCACACTTACTCGATTCTCTGGAATCCCGGACACGTTCTGTAAGTATATATAAAGATTTATCAACATCCATTCTTGTCATCTCGTTCTTGCAACTCTTTTCTCAACGTTGGCACAAATATTTGTTCCAGTTTCTATGTAGATGGTAGACCGATTAGAGAGTTAAAAAACCTGGAACAAGCTGGTGTTCAGTACCCGAAAAACCAAGCCATGAGAATGTATTGTAGCCTATGGAATGCGGATGATTGGGCCACGAGAGGAGGCCAAGTGAAGACCGATTGAAACCAGGCACCTTTCACAGCGTCTTTCAGGAACTTCACTGCTAATGCTTGTGTCTGGTCTAATGGAGATTCTTCCTGCCCTTCGAATTCGTCGAATAACAGTGCCTGGTTTTCGCAGGAGATGGATTCTTCCAGTCAGAAAGTAATGACATGGGTGCAAAAGAATTACATGGTTTACAATTAATGCAAAGACGCAAAACGATTCCCTCAGGGCCGACCTGTTGAATGCACTGTCAGAAACAGGAAACACATTTGATACTTTCCAGAAGATTGTAACATGATTCTTCAAAAAATCAATGACAATGTCGATTCCAGTCATCTGTATAATCATTTAATAACATTAAAATTTAAAATTAATGCAGCTTTCATTTGTGTTCAATGTCAATAAGAACAGCTTGCCACTTCTGGAAATCATGAAGGTTTATGGTATGCACTCTTTGACTCTGTACATACACTCCACTCATTTTTTTTTAATTTTGAATTATTCGAGTCAACTCAAATTATTAATTCTATTTTCGAATTCGAGTTGAAATTTGGAAATTTCAAATTACTCGAAAAATCGAGAATTTGACAATGTATTTTGGCAATTTTACAATTAAGTCATTAATTTCATTATTCCTTTGATTCCTCCATTTTAAGTTCATTTTTAACCAAATTTGATTCACATGCTCCTAAACCATTGTAGAATATATATCTACTCTCAATTCCTCTTTTGATAACAAGTTTTTTATTTTTTAATTTAATCCCTCAATTTTTCATAATTTTCTTATTTCTTCAATTTATCTTTTATTTTAAGTCACTTTTTATCAAATTTGAACGACATGCTCATAAACCAATAAAGAACACATATGTACTTCAATTCTTATTTTTTTACTAAAAATATGCTCTCTCTCTCTATTTAGACTCTTAATATTGTATTTTACTTAATTTAGTATTTTGATTGCAATTGTTTTGAGATTCTTTCTTCCCATCAATTCCTTGATTCTTTTATACTTTCAATAATATTTTACTCTCAAAATAAAGAAAAATATAATATTATTGTAGACCACAGATTTTGTCCTCATCCCAGCATTAAACCAAGCTTCCACTAATGCATGTTTCCTGCCAACTCACAAGGATAAAAATGCATGTGAAATCTGATCTAAAGCATGGTCACATCAAGTTGCTATTTTTTTATTTAAAGCTATGTAAAATAAGGGTTATAAATAGCCGAATGAAAATGTAAGGAAAGGGGGGAGTTCCTCTCGGTTTTTCAGCAAAGAACGAGCAAAAAAAATACAGAAAAAAAAAAGAATTCTTCAGGAATCAAAAACAGAACCGAATTTGTTTCAAAGCAAAGAGGTATTTTCTAATTTGATTTCATTTTCGGTTTATTAGTTTAGTTATTGAAATGCAATTAAGGTAGTAGATTTTAGTTTATAGTTTTTTTTTTTTGTCGTTTATATTCAATGCTTTCAAATATATATATATGAAAATGGGTTAGAAACTTATCGAGGTGGCGCGGATTATGGCTCCACCGTGAGCGGCGATGAGTGTTGTGAGAGGAGGAAGAAAAACTAAGAAAATGTGAGAGTTCATTGCACATAATTAAGATAAAGGGGAAGGGAAAGTGGTTCACGCGTTCCGGAATTGGGGGAAGTAAAAAATGATTTCATTTTAAGTTTGAGTTAACCTCACACAGGGGCCCTTTAATTTCTTGTCATCTTTTATGTTAGTCTCTTAAAATTTTGAACTATTTATGTTTAAGCCACTCCATTATCGCATTTTTTAAAAATCAGTCACCAAACTTGTGAGGTTAATCACGTTTACGTCCTCTAATATTACCTTGTTTTTACATTCTAGTCACCGAACCTCCACGTTTTATTTTATTTTATTTTAGGCACTTTATTTTCATTATTTTCAATTCGATCACCAATATATTATATTTTGCAATGATTTATACCTATAGCTTTCATTTCCTTTATTTTAATCACTATTAGTTTTTGATTTAGCCTAGATTATTTTATTTCCTTACATTTCGATCCATGTTTATTTTTGTTTAGTTACCATCTTTTGTTTTATTGCACTTTAACCTATATAATTAGATTTTATTACAATTTAGGCCCCTGTATTTATTTTAAATTGATTGTTGAAGATCTTATTTGTTCATATTGATTATTAGATCTTTCTACTTTAATCCTTTAATTTTTATT